TAAAACTAGATCAAGGGAGAAATCAAAAGATACCTTGAAAAAAATAAAAATGAGATCACAACCCAAAATCTATGGGACAGAGTGAAAGCAGTCTTAAGAGGAAAATTCATAGGATTACAGTCCTACCTCAAAAGATAAGAAAAATCTCATATAAACAATCTAAATTTACACTTAAAGGAACTTAAAAAAGAACAACAAACAAAGCCCAAAGTGAGTAGAAGAAAGGAAGTAATAAAGATAAGAGAGAAATAAGTGAAATAAAGTCTAAAAATATACAAAATATCAATGAAACCTAGAGCTGATTCTTTAAAGAGATAAATGAAATTGATAAACATTTAACCATACCCATCAAGAAAAAAATAGAACCCCGGTCAGTGTAGTTCAGTTGGTTGGGTTCAATTCCTGATTGGGCACATACCTAGGTTGTGAGTTCAATCCCTGGTGGTATGGGAGGCAACTGATCAAAATTTCTCTCTGACATCAATTTCTCTCTCTCTCTCTCTCTCTCTCTCTCTCTCTCTCTCTCTCTCTCTCCTTCCCTCCTTCCTACCCTCTCTCTCTCCATCCCTCCCTCTCCCTTTCTCTTTCTAAAACCAGTGAAAAACATATACTTGGGCAAGGATTAAGAAAAAAGTAAAAAGAAAGAGGACCCAGATACATAAAATCAGAAATTAAAGAGGAGAAATAACAACTGATACCAAAGAAATACAAAGGATTCTAAGAAAATATTATGACCAACTATATGCCAATAAATTGGACAATCCGGATGAAATGGATAAATTCCCAGAAACATACAATCTTTCAAAACAGAAGCAGGAAGAATCAGAGAATCTGAATAGATAGATTACAACTAGTGAAATTGAAGCAGTAGTGAAAAAACTCCCAGCAAACCAAAGTCCTGGACCAGATGGCTTCACATCTGAATTTTACCAAACATTCAAAGAACTAACACCTATTCTTCTCAAACTATTCCAAAAAATTCAAGAGGAGAGAAGACTCATAAGCTCAGCTTATGAGGCCAACATTATATTAATTCCAAAACCAGATAAAAAAAACTACAGAGAAGGAAAGTATAGACCAATATCCTTGATGAACATAAATGCTAAAATACTCAACAAAATATTAGAAAATTGGATCTAGCAATATGTCGAAAAGGTCATACACCATGACCAAGTGGGATTTATTCTAGGGATCCAAGGTTGGTATAATATCTGCAAAGCAAAAAATGTGATAAAGAAAATGAAGGATGAAAACCACATGATCATATCAATAAATGCAGGAAAAACACTTGATAAAATTCAGCACCTTTCCTATATACTAAAAGCCTAACATGCTAAGTGTCCGACTGTTCATTTGACTGACCGCTTGCTATGATGTGCACTGACCACCAGGGGGGTGAACAGTCAACCGTTTGACTGATTGCTATGACATGCACTGACCACCAGGGGCAGATGCTCTGACAAAAAGGTTAGCTTGCTGCTGGGGTTCGGCTGATCAGGGCTGGGTGAGACAGCCAGACACGCCCTAGAGCCCTCCCGTAGTTCCTCCCTGGCCCTGATCGTGCACCAGTGGGGTCCCTCGGCCTGGCCTGTGCCCTCTCGCAATCTGGAACCCCTTGGGGGATGTCCGCAGGCCAGGTCAAGGGACCCCACCAGGGCACGAATCTGTGCACCAAGCCTCTAGTCTCAATATATAAAAGCCTAATATGCAAATTGTACCCTTGCGAGTTTGATCGCTCGCTATGACATGCGCTGACTACCAGGGGGCGGTGCAGAATGAAGGAAGGCCCCGGCCGAAGGCCCCACTCGGCCCTGAGTGCTGGCCAGGCCTACCTGTGCACGAATTTCATGCACCAGGCCTCTACTTTATAATGAAATCTCTCAGGAAAGTGGGAATAGAGGGAACATACCTCAGTGTAATAAAGGCCATATATGGCAAACCCATAGCCAACATCAGTTACAATAAAATCAGGAACAAGACAGGGTTATCTGCTTTTACCACTCCTATTCAACATAGTACTGAAAGTCCTAGTCACAGCAATCAGAGGAGAAGAAAAAATGAAAGGCATCCAAATTGAAAAGGAAGAAGTAAAACTCATTATTCATAGATGATATGATATTGTACATAGAAAACTTTAGACCAGTGGTTCCCAAACTTATTTGGCCTACCGCCCCCTTTCCAGAAAAAATATTACTCAGTGCCCCCTGGAAATTAATTTTTTTAAAATTTTAATAGCAATTAAACAGAAAGATATATGTATTAATGTTTCTACCTTTTTCGTAAAATATAGTAAAGAAAGGTGTAAATTAGAAACATTGAAGTTTGAAATTATGAAACTATTTATTGAACTCAGAATAGAAAGGTAATACAAAAAAAGTTAAAACAAATGCACCTGTGGCCATCACCGCCCCCCTGGATCGCTGCAGCGCCCACCAGGGGGCGGTAGCGCCCACTTTGGGAATCACTGCTTTAGAGACTCCACCAAAAAGCTACTAGAAATGAATTTGGCAAAGCAGCAAAATATAAAATTATATTTAGAAATTGGTAGCATTTCTATACACCAATAATAAACTATCAAAAAGAGAAACTAAGAAAACAACTTCATTTATGATTGCATAAAAATACCAATGTAAAAGACCTTTACTGAGAAAATTACAAGATTCTGTAGAAAGAAATTGAAGAAGATACAAATAATGGAAAGCATATATCATGTTCATTGATAGGAAGAATTAACATCATTAAAATGTCCATACTACGGAAAGCAATCTATAGATACAATGAAATTCCTGTCATGATACCAATGGCATATTTCATAGAACTAGAATATCCAAAATTTATGTGGAGCCACAAGACCCTGAATACCAACAACAATCTTGGGAAAGAAGAACAAAATTGGAGGAATCATGCTACCTGATATCAAGCTATACTAAAAGGCCATAGTAATCAAAGCAGCATGGAACTGGCATACAAACAGACAGAGATCAGTGGAACAGAATAGAGCCCAGAAATAATCCCATGCCTTTACGGTGGTCAATTAATATTTGACAAAGGAGGCACAAACGCACACTGGGGTAAAGGCAGTCTCTCCAATAAATGGTGTTGGGAAAATTGGACTGATATGTGAAAAAAAAAAAGAAGAAAGTAGGGCACCAACCTACACAATACACAGGAATAAAAATGGATTAAATTAAATGTTAGACTCAAAACCATAAAAATCCTAGAAGTAAAATCTTGGACATTTCTCATAGCAATATTTTTTCTGATTTATCACCTTGGGCAAGAGAAACAAAAGAAAAAATAACAAGTGGAACTACATTAAACTACACAGTTTTTGTACAGCAAAGGAAAGTATCAATGAAATGAAAAGGCAACCTGCTGAATGGGAGAACATATATGCCAATGACACATATGATAAGGGCTTAATATTAAAAATTTAGAAAGAACTTATAAAACAACACACACACACACACACACCCCAAACAAACAAACAAACAAACAAGCAAACAAAAAACCCCAAACAATCCAATTAAGAAACAGGCAAAGGTTCTGAATAGACACTTCTCCAAAGTGGACATACAGATAGCCAATAGACATATGAAAGGATGCTCAATGTCACTAATATTCAGAGAAATACAAATTGAAACCACAATGAGATATCACTTGACACCTGTAAGAATGGCTATCATCAGTAAGTCAACAAACAAGTGTTGGTGAGGATGTGGAGAAAAGGGAATCCTTGTGCACTGTTGGAGGGTCTACAGATTGGTGCAGCCACTGTGGAAAGCAGTATGAAGTGACCTCAAAAAATTTAAAATGGAACTGCTTTCTGACCCAGAGGTTTGACTTCCAAACACATATCTGAAGAAATCCGAAAATCCAATCAGAAATAATGTATGTACCCTATCTTCATTGCAGTGTTATTTACAATAGCCAAGATTTGGAAGCAGCCCAAGCAGCCCATTGGCAGATGAGTGGATAAAAAGCCATGGAACATCTACACAATGGAATACTACTCAGCCACAAAAAAGAGAACATTACCCTTTGCAACATCAGGGGTCGACCTGCATAGTATTATGCTAAATGAAATAAGCCAGTCAGAGAAAGACAAATACCATATGATTTCACTTATATGTGCAATCTAATGAACAAAATAAACTAACAAACAAAACAGAAACAGACTCATAGATACAGATAACAGACTGACAACTGTCAGAGAGGAGGTGGTTTGGGGGGCTGCGTGAAAAAGGTGAAGGGATTAAGCAAAAACAAAACAAAAGTGGTAGACACAAACAACAGCATTGTAATGAGCAGAGCGAAAGTGGGGGAGAGGTAGGAAGGTAAAGTGGGGATAAATGACGTGAGGTGGTGAACACAAAATATAATATAAAGATGATGTATATAGAATTGTACACCTGAAACCTATATAATTTTATTAACTAACTAGAGGCCCAGTGCCCGAATTTGTGCACGGGTGGGGTCCCTCCACCTGGCTGGTGATCGGGGCAGATCAGGGCCATCTCACCCAGTCCTGATCGGGGCCGATCAGGGCTAGTGGCCAGGGAGGGGCTGCAGGAGGGACTGCGGGAAGGCTCCAGGGCTTGTCTGGCCCCATATTGCCCAGTCCCGATCCACTGGACCCCAGCAGTAAGCTAACCTACCGGTCGGAGCATCTGCCCTTGGTGATCAGTGCACGTCATAGCCACTGGTCGGTCAACCACTCGGTCGGACACTTAGCATATTAGGCATATATATATATGAATATGTATTTCCAATAGGGAAAAAGAATATGTATTTCCAATAGGGAAAAAGAAAAGAAATACATAAAAAGTGGACTATTTTAGGCAGAAATTGGAGCCAAGGATGTTGTTAGGTAAATTTTTCCTCTCCTCTGACCATGCCATGATGCCATGCCCCCCCCCCCCCCCCGCCCCCGTCACTTCCCATTCTTCCTCTCCTGTCTTTCTCCTCTAGAAAACCGCTTGAGAAAAGAGCATTCTTACCACAATATTTCCAAGTTCTTATATTTGGTCTCTGTGTAAGTTTGTTTGGGTTGCTTCTTATTTTCAGTTGCTCTGTTAACATTTAAGTTAGAAGCAGACTGAGAGCCTTTGTAACTCGGGGGCACTTGTCTCTTAGTGAGTCCATTAAGGTAGTTCAAGTCCATATTGGAAAGAGTGTTCATGTGTAGCTGCTGGTATGAGAATCTGTCCTCTTCTTGGTCTTTGCGTCCTCTTTTTTTATTAAAATTCATCACTGAGTGATATCCAGGAGCATTTTTGTATAATAACGCCTTGTCAAAAGTCTGCTGTGGTGGAGCAAATCTATTGGAGGTTCCGTGGGGCCCCTGGCCCCTAGGTGCCCCTGAGTGTTGTAAGTCGTTGCTGGGGGCATGCGTGACCGCAGCTGTCTCATGCCTTATGGGAGCATCAACAGGCTTGTTCTGAGTTGGTTGCCGTCTGGGAGTGTTTTTCGGGTTTCCCTGACTGAACACCAGCTCTTCCGGCACCAAAGACTTCAGGCCAGGTTTGTGCTTCTGCTGTTTTCCAGCCTTGTGCCCGGCTGCTCTTCTGGAAGGCTGCTGGCCACTGGCGGCTTCGGGAGATGGCCCTCTAGGTTCCTGACTCGATGCTGCACTTTCATATTGAGACCAGTGTTCCTGGTAATTCCAAAAAGATATTTTGGTTAATGCAAAATTAAAAGGTGGTCACTCCTCACACATTTTAAATTAGTGGTTTTCGTCGGGGAGCTGAGACTTGCAGGAAGGTGACCGTGGAGTTGAAAGGAGATAGAGACTACAGAGGCTCTTTCCTATCTCAGGCCCCGAGAGCAGACTCAGCTCGGTGACTCCTCCTGGCGATTTTAGGTTATACATTTTCTAGAAAGAAATGCAGAGTTTAGAATGGACTTTCTATCAAGGACAAGTCTTTGACTTAAAATCTTATAAAATGAAGTGTTGCTAAGTTGGGGTGGGGAGAGAAGCTTTACCTCTAAAGAACTGCATACAAAGAAAATGCAAATGTACATCAAAATATTCAAGTTTGTTTGTTTGTTTGTTTATTTATTTATTTATTTGTTAATCCTCACCCAGGGATATTTTCCCACTGATTTTTAGAGAGAGTGGACTGGAGGGGGAGAGACAGAGAGAGAGAAACATCGATGTGAGAGAATGGTTGCCTCCCACACGAGTCCTGACCAGGGGTGGGGATTGAGCCTGACACCAAGGTATGTGCCCTTGATTGGAATCAAACTCGGGACCCATTCAGTCCGCAGGCTGATGCTCCAAACGGCTAGGGCAAGTTTACTTGAACTAATAGGAATATTTCAAAAATATTAACCAGAAAGAACATTAATGATTTGCTTTACCAACCAAACACAAGTTTAGTATGAAATACACTCACTTATCAGATCTTTTTACTCATATAGTTCAGCAGCTAGACATGACCTCTTCACCAGATGAAACAAATTGGATTTATAAGAGTCTGCACTCCGATAGGACGTCTGTGAAACCACAAGGGTTGTTTTGCTTCTGCTCCTTAATGTAGCCTGTACTTAGGCAATCAAACATCTGGGGGAAATAATTCAACTTCACAACAGTCTTCATGCTTTTCAGTCTTGTAACAACAAAATGTACTCCTGATATAATAGATACACCATGTAACTATATTGTACTAAGTCATTTAGAAATATTTTTCAAGGAATAAAGCACTCATTACTTTGTGAAAAACTCGCTGAGCTAAGAGGCCGTTGGAATGATTAACTGCTCACTGAAAACAGCCAGATGACCACATGCATCAGCATGTTACATAACTGCAGCTCATGCCTCCTTTCTGAACACACGTGTATGAGAGCTCTGTGGTCTGAGTCCACAAAACATTAATCAAAATATGCAAGTTACCAGGACCATTTGAGAAAAATAGCTTAAAGTAAGTAAATCATGTTTTTGCTTAAACTGTTTAGCTTGCTATGAAGAATGATCAAAGTATTGCAATGAATTCAACTTTTATTTCACTTTCCTGATATAATCACTAAGACTCATCCTATTCTTGTATAATATTAGGTGGCATTCTATTTTGAATGAAATCTAATTACAATGATAAGGGTGAGACTATTTAAAACATAACAGAGAATTTTACATCTTACATCAGATTTTTAAAATAAGAATGGCTTGCCAAAACCGGTTTGGCTCAGTGGATAGAGCGTCGGCCTGCGGACTGAAAGGTCCCAGGTTCGATTCCGGTCAAGGGCATGTACCTGGGTTGCGGGCACATCCCCAGTAGGAGATGTGCAGGAGGCAGCTGATCAATGTCTCTCTCTCATCGATGTTTCTAGCTCTCTTTCTCTCTCCCTTCCTCTCTGTAAAAAATCAATAAAATATATTTTTAAAAAAATAAGAATGGCTTATAATTTGAAATTTAGAGTATGTTCTCTTTGGAATTGGAGATTTCTGGAGGATTGGCCAAATTCTGATTAGCTCCTCTAAACTTTAATTTTTTTTTTTTACCTGTGGTGTTCCAAAAAAGAAAACTTCTTTTTCTGCATTCCAATTAAGACAGGCTGTGGCCCTGGCCGGGTAGCTCAGTTGGTTAGAGGGTTGTCCTGGTACATACAGAGAAAGGTTGCAGGTTTGATCCCCAATCAGGGCACACACAAGAATCAACCAATGAATGCATCAATAAGTGGAATAACAAATTGATCTCTCTCCCTCTCTCTCTCAAATCATTGATTTAAAAAAGGAAAGACAAGTTCTTCCTCCCAGGCAGTGCCTTGAGCTGCATGGGAATGTGGGCGAGAAGGCTCTGCAGGTGCCCGAGAGCACCCTTCCTCGCAGCGGATCCAGAAGAAACCTGCTATTCACAGTCTCACAGGCGTGTTCATGAAGCACGGGGCTCTTTCCATGGCTGCCATCACTGTCTGTGACAGGCAAAAAGGCCCTTTGCTGGGATCTGTAAACATGTACCGATGCTGATAAGGTCAGTCTTTTCCATACCTGTTCAGTCTTTCAATTGCTAGAAAAATAAGTGACCAGAAACTTTATTTTTGCTGCCATCCAACTGTACTTGCTTTAGTTCTCTTTCCTCATTTCCAGCAAAAAAAGGAAAAGAAAACCTATTAGGAATTTTTTTCCTGGGTACAGACCTGAAATCTTGGCTTTAGTCATGTTACACCGTTGCTGACAGTTCAGGTTACTAGAGTGTTCTTCTCAGGGTGCATTGTCAACAAGGCCAAGGACTCATCATGTCATGAAACTTCCTCTCAAGTGTTAAATTCGCTATTCACATAAATGTAAGTGCCCGAGGTGGCATTTCAGTCCCCAGAAAGGAAGACACTTATGGGCTTGATGTGATGTCTCTTACTTTCCCAGTAGCCTACTTGAGATCTGTGGTTTACCCAGGATTTATTACCCTACAATGGAGACATCAGGTGTCACACTTTAGGTGGTAAGACCTGAGTTCCCTGAAGTTAACATACAAAGCCATTCTCAGGGCGATTTAATCTCCATCAGCACTGAAACCCTCTATTTCATCGGCTCTCACTGGGGTTCTTTTGTTGCCCACAGGCACAGTCAGCCCATGCTGCATGCACTCGGAGCAACTGCTTAATGGCCGGAGGTTTTCCTGGCGCACACAGAGCTGGGTCCTTCGGCTGCACCATCAGCTCCCGGGCATCCTGGTGCCTAATGCGAGGATGATAATTCCTCAGTCAGACCCGACCTTAGTTAATGTCTGTTCCCACTGGGCCATCTGAGAGAAGTTTTCCCCAACCCTGAGAAAGGCAGCACCAGAAGTTTCCTCTTTCATGGCTTTGCTGTTTACATGGCGTAAGCAATGGGGAGAATATATGCTCCGATCTCAACTGAGAAGTTCATCATTCAGAACTGCCTGCAATCTAGCTGAATGGAAGTCCTACAACTAAGGGCATAAAAAAGAAGTTACATGGAGGCTGGTAAAAGGGGCAGTAACATGGAACAGGCTGGTCCCACAACCACAGATAGTGATTAAAAATCAGGAGGGATGTCTTGGATGTGGAGGTCTCCACTGAGGAGTGAGGGGTCTCACCCCACACCAGATCCCTCAGGCCAGGCTCCAGTTCCAGGAAGGGAAGTCCCCATAACTTCTGGCTGTAAAATCAGTGGAGCCCAGCCAGTATGGCTCAGTGGTTGAGCACCGACCTATGAAACAGGAGGTCATGGTTCAATTCCCAGTCCGGGCACATGCCCGTGTTGTGAGCTCAATCCCCATTGTTGGGCGTGCAGGAGGCAGCCGATCAATGATTCTCTGTCTCATCGCTGATATTTCTATCTCTCTCTCCCTCTACCTTCCTCTCTGAAATCACTAAAAATATATTTTTTTAAAAAATAGCTTAAAATTAATGTACAAAAAAACAGAAGAGAAGGAAAGAAATTGAAAACCTATTTGAAAAAATGACGGAAAACTCTCACCTGGTGAAGGAAAAGACACTCGTGCCCAGGAAGGGCAGAGAGTCCCAAGCAAGATGAACCTAAAAAGGTCAAGACTCATCATAATGAAAATGCCAAGGGTTAAAGACAAAGAGAGAATCTTAAAAGCAGCAAGAAAACAGCAGTTTGTTACCGACAAAGGAGCTCCCATAAAGACTCAGCTGATTTCTCAACAGAAACTCTGAGGGCCAGAAGAGATTAGCAAGAAATATTCAAAGTGATGTAAAGCAAGGATCTACTGTACAACCAAGATTACTCCACCCTGTAAATCTATCATTTAGAATCAAAGGCCAGATAAAGAGCTTCCCATACAAGAAAAAGCTAAAGAAGTTCATCACCACCAAGACAGTATTAAAAGAAATGTTAAGTGGTTTTCTTTAAGAAGAAGAAGGAAAAAAAGATAAAAATATGAATAATAAAATGGCAATAAATACATATCTATCAACATTTACTTTAAATGCAAATGGATTAAATGCCCCAATCAAAAGACATACAAGAATTGAATGGATAACAAAACAAGACCCATACATATGCTGTCTGTAAGAGATCCACTTCAGATTGAAAGACACACATAGAATGAAAATCAAGGGATAAAAGAAGATATTTCATGGAAATGGGAATGAAAAATAAAAAATAAAGCTGGGGTAGCAATACTTATATAAGACAAAGTAGACTTTAAAACAGAGGTGATAACAAGAGATAAAGAAAGATCCAGCAAATCCACTTCTGGGTATGCATCTGAAAAACAAAACAAAACAACCCAAAACACTAAATTAAAAAGACATGTACTGTACATCCATATGTTTATTTATAATAGCCAAGATATGGAAGCAACCTAAGTGTTCATCATAGATGAATGGATAAAGAAGAAGTCATGCATTATATACAATGGACTATAACTCATCCATAAAAAAGAATGATATCTTGCTATCTGCAACAACATGGATGGACTAGAGGGCATTGTGCTGAGTGAAATAAGTCAGACAGACAAAGACAAATGCCATATGATTTTACTTATATGTGAAATCTAAAAACAAAATAAACAAATAAGCAAAACAGAAACAGACCCACAGATACAGATAACATTTTGATGGTTGTCAGGTGGGAGAGGGCATTGGGGTTGGGGGTGTCAAAAAGGAGATGGGATTAAGAAGTACAAATTAATAGTTACAAGATAGTCATGGGTATTTGTAAAGTAC